CATCAGCGATGCGAAGAGCCTGTTAACTGCCCCGAAACATGTCTTCTCCACCCCACTCAGAGCGAAGCTCTCCCTCAGCATCGCTGGAGTGCAGACACTGACACAGGTTTTGAAGAGCTCCATGTCTCTAGCACCTTTCAGGGGGAAATGATGCTACAGGGGCCCCAAGCACAGCACCCCCAAACCCTTCAGGCCTTCAGACAACAACACATGGAGCAGCATCAGCTTCACCCTAAACCCTGGCCATTACTCAGACACATAGGACTTCACCCTAACAGTGTCACAGCCCTTTCCCGTGCCTCAATTTCTCTGCCCAAAGAAAAACACCAACCCAAGCCTTCAGGGCTGGAAATTCGTTTGCTGGGAGGTGGCAGTGCAGCACAGTGCCACTGGGCTACCCACCCAGCACCAGACATGATCTCTCTATCTGCCACCGCTAATTGCAGATCTGGTCATCAGCAAGGGAATGTAGATCTGTGTGCGCCCCACTCATCACAATGTCACCTACTTGCCAGGGACACCTTCAGCAGCTGTGCAAGGAGAGGATGTGGAATTTAATGAAAGGGCTGAGGAAGCATCAAAAGGCAAAAGACAGAGATAGAAGTCACCAACATCCTTCCAGCCTGCACCTCTCACCCCTGGCCAGCTCCCCTGGCATCTCTGGCTGGTGGGCTACAAGCCGAGGACCAGAGGCTGGGCCAGAGCAGCCTCCAGCAGCACGCCGCAGGGACACAGACTGCTCCCGCCAGCCGCGGTGGGGAGATGGCTCTGCCTGGATCTGGTGGAAAAGAGGCCAACCACGCATTGATAAGATGAATTAGTTGTCTCAGCAGCACCGGCAAAAAGAGCGAGAGAAGTGGAGCCCGTGAGGCCCGGCCTGCTTTGTTTCAATTACAGCAGCTGCCAGAAGAAAAAGATAACCTCAATATTGATGGCGGGAGCAGCAGACAGAGGTGCCCTTGTGGGCTGCTGGGAGCAGGTAGAGGAGGAGGGGGAGGAGGGAGGGAGCAAGAGAGATGGAGGAGAGGGAGGAGGATCTCAACCAGGGTCCCATGGGAGAGCCTGGCTGGCTCCCACGGTCTGGTGAGAAAGACCCACCTGGTCCCGCAGCCCTCATCCCCACGAGGGGCAGCTCCTCTTCGCCCCGGCTCTGGCCCCAGGCACTGGGCAGAGCACCCCCCCTGCAGAGACAAGGCGGAGGGGTGCAGCCCCCCAGGACTCGGGGCAGAAAGTCAGCTCAGAGGATCAGCAGCAGCACACGCACCACAGCATGGCGCCGCATCACATTGAGCAGGAAAAATCATCTTTTGCTCCCCACGCAGGCTGTGGGGCCCAGAGAGGAGATGGAGACTTCAGGGGAGGCGCTGAGTGGGGCTGTGTGGGATGGATGGTGGATGGAGCTGTAGCGAAGGGCTGCGGGGCTGAGACAGGCATGGGGCAGCCCGGGGCGCAGGCAGGCGTGATTGCCCACCAGGGATGCAGCACCCAGCTGCCTGGGGGCTGGGCAGCCCCCAGCACGGTGCGTGCAATGGGGAACCAGGCTGCGCACTGGGCAGAAGATGCCCAAGATGACCTTGGACTGCGTGTGGGAACGCTGGCCCCACGCGAGCAGCTCGGAGCAGGCACCCCAACATCACACCCCAGGCCAGAGATGAAGGTACCAAGCCAAACCTCCTCCCTGCAGGTCAAGGTTAATGCCCTGCCCCGGGGAGGACTGAGCCCTCCTGGCAGGAGGCAACCAGGAGGTGTGAAGAGATGGGGTCTCTTCAGTGTTCAACCCCGTTACCTCCAGGTCTCTACACAGGGGATTGCAAACCACCACCAGCTGCTGCTTCCCGAGGTCCACATCCAGTCCAGAGTCCCCCCCTGAGCCAAGAGAAACCCCAGAGTGAGCCCTGCGCCCAGCGAGCCCCCCACCCTCTCCGGGCAAGGGACCCCACCAGAGGCCAGGCTGAGCAGGGTTCGCTTCACAGAGGTTTTATTCGCGCTCCGGTTGTCCGCGTCGCCCTCCCATCTCGCTTCTCCCCCAGGAGAGACCCCTCACGTCCGTGATACAGCCCCTAGGTCTCCAGGAGGGGACAAGGCCACCATCTTGCGGCCACCCACCACCACTGCACATCCCCGTCTGCAAGGCCTGGAGGGTCCCCACGATGCGACAGCTGTGGGGGTACAGGGTTTGGACCATGGGGAGCTGCGACCTCCCACCGCTCCTAGAGCCTCCATCCCCTGGGATCACGTCCTGCGGGGCACACGCTGTCCCTCTCCTCACTCTCCGTCCAGGACACCCAGGGGTGCCAGGACACCCAGGGGTGCCAGGACACGCAGAGCGTGCTGCTGCCCCCGTCCCAGTTCTGTCCCCTCCACCGCTGCCCTGCTGCCCCGTGCAGTGTCAGCCAGCAGTGCCCAGGGACCTCCCGGTTGGCACCACGGGCTTCATTGAGCACGGAAAGGCAGGCAGCGGCAGCAGAAGGGTCAGAACTCAGCCGCAGGGCTGAAAATGCAGCAGCTCTGGGGATCTGAGGGGGGGTTTCCACCCCCGGTCACAGTGTGGGAGCATGACCCACATGGGAGATACTGAAGGGGGTTGTTCTACCAACGCTGCTGGTCACCAGCAGCCCAAAGCGAGTCCTTTCATTCCTCTGGGAAGCGAGTTGGCATGGTCTGCACACTACTGGGTTCTGTGGGGCTGCCCAGTCTGGCTTAGTGCACCTTTCCCTCCTTCTGCTTCTTCACCTCGTGGTGGGGCTGGCCATGGTCTCTGTGGCGGCGGTGGGCATGGGTGGCAGGTTCATGGCCCCCACTTCGCTCTGCGGCTCTCCCGCTGCTCACCTCGTGGTGGTGGAGAGGATGGAGGGGGGTGTGCTGGTGGATGGCGGTCTCTGACTCCTTCCCCTCTTGTTTGGGAAGCGGGCTCGCGGTTACAGGGACCCCTGCGGTACCGTTCGCCTGCAGAAAGCAACACAAGGGCTGGTGCTGTATGCGAACGTACACCCAGCCCCGCAGCGAGCCTGCGAGCACGCCTGTGAGCTGGGATGAAAGCGGAACAGCGTTCTGCCACACAGAAAGCTGCGTGGGTCAGAGCAAAGGCTCTCCAGCCCCGACCCAGGGCACAGGGAAGACAGGAGAGGCTGGAGCACACAAAGCACAATCCTCTGTACCTACATCCCTCGCCTTCAGCTGCCTGTGGTCCAGGAGATTCCTGACCCAGGAAGGGAATTTGCATTTAATATTTCTAGATGGATTTTTCTCCTAGGAAGTGACTAATCACCTGCTGAGCCTGGAGCTACGTCCTTTTCCGTGCTCTGGGCTTACCACCCCCAGGTCCATTGCCTGCTCCTTCCTTACATCAGAACCATCAGCAATGCTCGTCAGCTTTTCCAGACCCGGGCTACAGCCCCTTTAGTCTGTTCCTTCTCAGCCTGAAAGCTCTGACCTATTTAACCACCCTTATTCCAGACCTTTCACAACCTCCCCTCTCAACCACAGACGAGGATGGCTGCCAGCCCAGAGCCTGTCCCCAGCGTGAAGATAAAAGGCGTTTTCTTTCCTCGCATACGATGCCAGAGAAGGGAGCCCAGCTCCAGCCAGCATCCCTGCTCCTCACCTCCAGGGTGGTGTTGGGGTAGAAGGAGCAGTTGCCGCAGAAGTCCTTGCCGTGGGTGAAGCGGATGGCCGACTCCACGTAAGGGAAGTGGAGGAAGCTGTAGGGCAGCTGGAGGTGCAAAGCCAGGCGGCCGCACCTGTGGGGAGAAGCCACGGCCT